GATTTAAGTTATCACCCAGATCATTGGTTTGCATGACTGGGTGCGGTTCGCTTAGTTAATTGTCTCTCCCTTATGGACACTTCCGTCCCATCATCAACTGTCGTCACTTGTTTCAATTCTTTCAATTTATCTCCGGTTGCTGTGCTTCGAACCCGCTTGATAATGATGCTCGTAATCGAAAATAACGCTGGAGAACCCACGGTTAACTAGACCACAGCGTTGCTGGGAAACAAGGCAATTAACATTAATCATGTTCGAATGCTAACATCTGTTTGCGAGAGATCAAGTGTAGGGACACCATTGATCCCCTGACTGCACCATATCCTGTTGTGGCCTCCTATGACGAAGGTGATCGATCTCGATCCTGCACTTCGACGGAAGAAACACACCAGCATGGGCAAGCCTGTTATCCGAATTCTTTATGTTTTTTTTGCCACGCTGTAGGTTAGCTGCTGCCTTACTGGCAAATGATGCGCACCAAGTTAGACTTTCACTACACATGCGGAGAACATACGTGATCTAGTCAACCAAAGGGGTTCGACTTGAACAGCCGCTTCAGTGCGGCACCGGTGACTCCAAACCCTGAATGACTAGCTTCAGGTTTACCTACACAGCGCCCTAGCAAGGTATTGCTACTACTTTGCAAGCGCCGTCGATGAAAGCTAAACTACTACTTGATGTTCCTTAGTGCGCGGTGGCTATGTTTCTTATTCATCAGCAACTGGCTGCAGCGCAGTATGGTATAATTTGCTTTGGACTGATAGGTCGTTTCCCTTGCTGCCTGTGGTTGGTTGGATTGTTGTAAAGCCGCTTGGAGTTTACTTAGCAGTTTGATTCCCAATGGGGATAAGATTGCTTAGGTAGTTGAACTAATCGTTTATCTACACCTGGGTGTACCCTATGCCTCGAAATATTTGAGAATTAAATTTTATTTATTTATGATGCTCGTATCGGGTACTGTTTCGGCCCAGTCATGTAACGGCATCTTGTACTTCTTAGTTTCAAAAAAAACATGTTCAACGTTCATCGGTATACGTCAACCTATTCAGTACCGTTTGCGCGTTAGTTAGTTCCGACCCTATGGGGATACCTCCTTTGCGTATCCTGACTGCCCTTTCAGCCACCCGGCAGAGGATCCTCTCCCTAGGAAGCATTTTGGCTAGTAACTATTGGTCACTTTCATCACAGAGTGAAAGCGGAGGGAGTATCTGTGGCAATCCTGGCGCGCCAAAGTTCTTTGTTGATTATCACATGGCGTCTTGATTTGCAATTTACACGTTTCCGAGTCGATAGTAATTCCACTGATACGTCCTTCAAGCTGGTCCGATCAAGCGAATCGGAGACGGTTTTCGCATTGAGATCATCACTCCTCTGTTGTTCGCATATACATCCATGTTCGGCCAATAGATAATGTATAACTATGTGGTCAGTTGGGTGGTTAAGTTGCCAGCTTGGTTTCCACTGATTTGACTCAGGTGATGAATGGGAATCTGTTGGTATGCGGTGCTTGTGATTGGTCTATACTCAGTGTCAGTATGGCTGTTGCTTCTAAGTTACAAAACGTTCTATACTTTTCAGAGCTAGCTACGACACTTGTCATTCGCCAGTCTAGAGAATGTCGTTCATCTCGTGAAAGAGTAGATTGCCCTGCGCAACAGCGGACGTGAAGGAAGCTTTAGTCAACCTATTGGTAGCAGCGAACGAAAATAAGCTCAAGAGGGTGAACGACGTTGGCATAACCATTCCAGTCTCTACACCTAACTATTGTTTGCAATTTTCAAATCATTCCTCCGACCATTTTGCCTCCGTGATTTTCATCTAAATGAAATCGTACAGCCCAGTTTTCCGTCGCTACCGCCACGCGCTCACAGGTATCCGACAGATCGATTCTGCAAACCTACCCTACGTGTCCCATAATCAATATAGGATTTGTTATAGTTTCTGCCAACTGTACGTATCATCTGCTGATGCGCAGTTTGAACCGGCCGACTTCCAAGATCAGAAGACAAATGGCTTTTTCCTTCGTGCACTTGCTGATCCCTTCACGGTCGCATATTTCTCTCGAATGTGTTCGATAATCACTGTCTTCAGGACCTCCGGCTTGTTTAGTTAAACGCCTGCACAGATCTGGTTGACAAGAACATCCAGGAGATTGAAGCGTTACATCCAATCTAGCCCGTGGTGGTTCGGATTCCTGTGACTTGTGACAAAAATGGTTCTGCATGGGGTGGAATTTGCAAAATGGCACTTAGATTCATTCCGACCTACTAAATTCACCTGGGTACCTGAACCACTCGTCGCTTTGTCGTCGATCGGTTTGATGTCGGTTACACCAGCAGTTTCCCACAGGTTTTTCGTGATCGCTAATCTCGGAAGTCGTGTCAATCTGGAAGCTCACCACTCTCCCATTGATGCTGCTTGTGCCAAACTTCATTCTATCTTTGACACCTTCGGAGAAGTTAGCGTTTACTCTTCGTGCAAACTTCCCGTGCTCTTGTCTTTAGGCATCATGTGCTGATTTGAACGGTGCTTTGGACCTGCAGTGCTTTTCCTTGTGTCCACCTCTAGACACTTCTGGCAGACGTTCTCGTTGAATGGGCAGTATCTCAAAAAATGCTAGCCTCCGCACTGCTAGCAAGCTGATGAGCTTTTGGATTGTAGACAGCTCTTCTGCTCAGTTGTTGGGCGTTAATCCTGGCAACTCGCTAGATAGCAATAATACCAAGACACACCTTTATATCTTCCACCATACTTTAAATTGACGATTCTCTGGGATTCAGGCCAGTCTGTAGCCTAATGGTAACAAGCTTGCCTTGTAATCTGATGGCTCGGGTTCGCCTCTGCGCAGGGACATTGCGACCCTCACAGTATCCTTAGCCCACATGCAACCGGTGGTGGTTGCGCGGCAGTGAAGCGTCGGTACTGCGTACCGTCGTACTGCTGATGAACTTCAGCGATGACATTTCGTAATGTGCCCCAACATCCCAAGTATTCTGGCGTAAGCCAGACTTTATGTTTCTTTTAGCATCAAACCACAAAGAAATCAATCTGGTTGCACCATACTGTGGGCATGTAGTCAGGATGTACGTGTTTCTCCATGTCTGTGGTTAACGCAGTAACTGGAGTGGACTTCCGTTTCCTGACTCGAATAATGTCGTGCATCAGCAAGTGGCAACCAGTGCTCAACGTAGACTCCACGCTTACTGCATTTATCGCAGCCGTAGTAATCAGCGTTCCTCTTCAAGAAGGCTCTTGCTGGTGTATCACATCGAATAGCGCGTAGGTTAACCTGCTTCGGCGTTGTACCATAAAGTGTACTAAAATCATGGTTCTCTAGATATTTAAGCTCGGATACCAAAGTGGACGTGAAATCGTCCACATCTGCAACTTTATTGCCTCCGCCTTATATACCTATTAGAAATGACTTACAGATAAAAGAGCTAGTAATGCTACCCAGAATAGGCCACGTTTTCAGACGGGAGAAATAAAAAGGACGAAATCTATTTGCAAATATTTGCCCACCCACATTACGGACATCTTGTAATTCTGCACACTAACACATATGACATAAACCCGCCTCTAAATCAACGCGGCCATATATGCCTGGGTTAAGGGTTCGCAGTGCTATTTTCCGTGGAATGCGCATTAGCGTTCGGTAATTTGTCGGGAGGAATGATATCCCCGTTTGAAGTAGCCGCAAAGGAGCATCGACAAATGAAGATGTCACATGGTATCACGATATCAGAGTACGAATCTGCGTAAGTGATTGCTCCTTATCCATCACCGCAATCAGGGGCAGCTGCATGTTTGAAGCAACCTCCTTAAACGTTAATGGAGATTGGGTTAATGTTGCAAATGATAAGCATTTGCGTGTAACCTAGGAGCAGCAGCGACCACTCCGTCATACTACTCGCTAACCGTTAACGGCACATCATGTACACAGCGCAAACGCTTGATCATTCAACATACTGTCGAGTGCGGGGATCACTTCGAATTCGCTCTATACGTTCGATGACCTCTCATGATACCCATGAACTCACAGGCAACAGTGCGGTGAAGGAGTTGCATAGTCAACAATTGACACGACTGCGAGATGCAATTTCGCTCGAACTATCACAGTAGATAGTTGCAGTGAAAAGTTTGGTGTGCAGTTACCAGTAGGGGATAAACCCTTTCGCTGACCCCGATCCATTTCCTATTCTAACAGGGTTCAGTATCTTGACACAAAAATGGTGTAGATAAAAAACTTAGTGCACATAGCTGCCTTTATTCGAATTTAAAAGCCCTAATGCCCACGGTACATCCATGCTAATTTAGCAACGCATAATGAATATGCCGATATTGCTTATAAATAAGTGCAAATTTTAATCGCCAACTTCTTCACGTCTTCCATCAATGAAAATAAATCAGTGTTTTCAGCAAATGAGAGCTGAAAACAGCAGAGATGTGACCAGAGAAAGCACGACGTTATGGCCCTGTCGCAATCAAACCGAAAACTCGTACGAAGATAGATAAACTACTTCGTTAATTCAATCAAACAGTCGAAATTAGTAAAATATTTATCCGCCATTGTATCATAAATATCAGGTTGGATTTTGATGCAATATGTTAACTTGCTCAGATATAGCTTTTAAATGCATCCTTTATTTTTCATCCATCCTATTACTAGCAAATAAAATCGTTTCGAGTTCCACTTTCTTTCCAAATGGTTCCATTTTCGGTTACGTTCGTGGTTGATGGACCACGTTTTAGCAATTTCGAAGTCATCCATACTTGAAACTACTTGCACAATTTTTTGGACATCTCTTATCACCTTCATTTCCTCTATTCTGGTTATTTTCTGTCTCCTGTCACAGATTCATGCTACCATAATACAAACAATTCCATGATGCTCCTTGACTCTTTGTGAATGCAAGTGTTTTCAGCGACTGCGGTACTTTTCGGATCCTTTTTGGTTTGCCCATCCATGCTTACTCTCTTTCTTCTCTCACACTGTGCAGCTTCCTGGCCTCTTTTCCGTGGCACTTGGTGGCACATCTTACCGGGTAGCCGAAGCGAGTTGGCACTCAATGACTTGAGCTGCTCTGCGTATCACCGCCGGGACCAGAACTGCAGTCAACTCATGGACTTCTGTGATTTCTTCTGCTTGTTATCAAAATTTGGTTTAATTTTGGCCTATTTCTACATTTGTGACCGGTAAGTTGGGACAGTATTTTTCCTGGCTCACATATATATCGAACTGTCTCTAGAAATTGCATTGTTGCAATTCTTCTTTTCCTCGGTATTCGTTGCTGCTTACATTTGTGAGTGAATTGGGTAGAGGTGGCTGAGTGACGCGGAGCATACTCGTCGATTTTGTCCTCTCTCCTCAGCACCACGAAACCTTTGGCTGTTTTGTGTGTCGGGTCAGTTACGATGATGACATCAGGTCGAACTGACCTTTTTATCTTTGAAAGTTCATTTATTATCCTTCCAAAGCCCAGTACTCTTCATCTTCGTACCTCGTGGTTAAATTGCTGACCGCGTACTTAACATCGTGGCCCTCGCTCAGGCGCCAGCGATCGGTCGGTTGATTTCACAACAGATTGGTTATTGTGTATGTCTTCGGGTAGTGACAACTATCTCCTGGTATTTCGCTCCTGATGTAACGGAGCTTCATATGCTAATCATCATCATCATCATCACTATATGCTAATGCATCCACCTCTTCGGTTCTGACTGGGGCTGCATGCTCACCCCATCCCAGCTTGGGAATTTATGTCTTCACTGATTCCTGGTGTGCTCACCTCGTTTCGGATCAGCTAGCCAACACACACTCCTTTTAACTATCATGCTTATTCTGTTAACTGTTTCACTTTCACTGTATCTGATCCGACTTGTTTCAATTCTGCCAGTACTCAGCTGTTCCACTCGATCAATAAAGGGTTTTCGTCTTCAGCCTTCTGGTCTGCATTACTGTTGCTACTCTTCTTGGGCCTGCTGCTATCATCCAGGACAAAGCAAGTAGGTGGTTTTTTCTGCTGTATCGAGCACATTCATTTGGATTCGCACCTTCAACAGCTAGCACATTATTGGTGGTCGTTACTTTTGTTGGGCACGGGCTGGCTTGTATTAGCCGTTCTCAATTCACTACACCATCAACTTTTCGCCCTTTCCCGTACTAATGTCTGTAAGGTTTCATCATTGTGGCACTTGTTAGTACCTTGATCCTGTTAAGTTATTCAGCGCGAAAATGAGCTAGACCTCTCGATCATTGGGTTCAGATCTACCATTCTGCACAACCTTTCTTTATGGAGATTTTTAGGATTTATTTGCACGTCAACACTACATCTCCATCTGGTCACTATTAGTCTATTCACGTGGCATCTGCATCAATGACTCTTTGCATAAACGCTTTTGTCTTTGTTTTTTGGCTTTCTGCTTGCTTTATTTCGTTGCAGTCAACCATTCAATCGCCATATTTTCGTTGTTCATCGCATGCTAGCGATCTGGAATCGTGTGTTCCTCCTCTGATGAACTGTTACAATATTTTCTTGAGTACGATCAATTGCTCTTAACTGGCACAGTTTGCTTTTTTCTGCAAAAGACAAAACAACTTACGTTCCTGCTAATTGATGGCCCCATCATGCTTCTCAATATACAACGGCACATTATTCAAATCAACAGATTTATCAAACCCGTCCGCTGCCCTCGCCACAAACTGGGTACTTTAACGGGGATTATCAGCTCGCTAATTAACTAGTCTCTTTATCTCACTGCTGATATGTTTACCATTGGAGGCGTTCAGTCATATCATTTCAGCTGTACGTGTACCGTACTTCCATCGTTGGAATCCATTGGCTGTCTTTGCTAACTTCTCCTTTTTTATTCCTAGCTTGGAATAAATCACGTGGACATTACACGCGAATGGAAGGGTTGGATGCAGCTCTACATTCTAGTATATCATTATATAGACGGTTATTCGGTATGTCGATTTTTTCGGTTGCCTTCCTACTTCTTCAACAGCTTACTTTCAATACTTGGATTCCATGCCATGTTACCAAAAGGCTTATTAGTTTCGTAACCATCACACTGCACTTCTTATCTCTGATGTCCCTATTCCTGTCTTTGTGGTTTTTTAAGGGTTGAAATTTTTTACTTACACATCTAGCTCGCTGCACTGAACAAATCTCCGGAATCAAATCACTCCAGGATCAAATCCGTAATCTTTACTTCTGGCCATGTCACAAGCATTAACAGAATAGCTACCGTATTTCATGGAATCACTTTGATGTTGCACACGTATGAACCGAATTTTGTCTTGTAACGCCCGAAATATCCAATTTGCCTTTACGTCGCGCTGTATTTGGTCATCTCCTTTTCAAAGTACCCCACAATTATTAACTTATTAATATCCTTTAGCGTTCTTTCTGTAACCATAGTTTTTTTCCAACGGCACTTCCATACCACAAAGAATTTGCTGTTACCCACTTCCCTACACCTTCTAGCTAAAAGAATTTTTTCCCCTGTGTCTCGATGCAACTGACTCTTCTCATTGTTTGTCCGCCTCTTTACATACACCATCCTTTCATATAATCGGGGTTAGCTGGTCCCAGCACATTCAGATGAGATCGCTTTACTACTTAGCACTCAGAGCTCACTTCACTTCCTAGCTGATCATGTTGTGTGATGCGCGAATCACTCGGTTACTTGTCCACCATTTAGCCAACATACAGCTGCTTTAGATCATATGCTTTACACGACGTCAAAGTTCAGGAGTAACTAAGCTCAACATCATCCTCATGTTTCACACTGATCGATGAGTATAACCTGGTGGCGCTTTGTCCATGGTTGCAAAATCCCATCTCTGATCCTTAGCTCTCCCTGATCACAAACAGGCATGGCATTCATTAGACAGTTATCCATAAGAAACATGGATGCGACCAAGTTTACTGCTTACACTTCGACAAGAAACCGCATCACTTGAAGATTGGTGACAGATAGGAATCAACATTTCCTAGACTCGAGATATTTAGAATGTTGGAGGGAGTGCCTCGAGTGTGATCGTGTGAATGTATGCAGCCGATTGTACGATGCAACATGAAGACTCAATTACAAAAAGTACTGAAGCGACGAAATATTTTGACCACACGTTGTCTGTGGTAAGATGCTGATTCTGCTTAAGATCAGCGCAGAAGGCAGTTGACAGCCAGTGCAAATCTGCATATCGCTGATTGGCACCATTGCAATTGGTCAAAGATGAGGACAGTATCATCTGCATAGTTCTAGTCTGTAGGTAGATCACCTGGCCGCAGCCCCACACCTTCCAAGTAGGGTCCGGTGAGTGCAGTTTCCATACCTTCATTAGTATCGAACTTCAAAGGCGGTGATAACGGGCATCCCTGTCTCACATTGTTAGAAACATTTAACAACGGTGACATTTTGCTATTAGCTCTCACTCTACTCGAACTATGTAGTTAAGCCATTCTGATAGTGCTGCGTGCTTCTGGGGCACACATTTTGTAATCGGGAAAGTCCAAGAGTCATGTCGATCTATCTGCATTTCCAGTCTATTGAGTACGCCGCTATGTTTTCCCGGACAGAAGTGGAACCCACTTTCGTCTGCCTAACCGCCGTCGTTGGTGCTTTTTCTCATTCACGTTACACCCTCACGGATCATCTTACTTCTGTGCTACCTAAAACGCAAGTAAGCCTCACGTAAACGCTAACATTCCCATGAAGATCTTCCTCCCCAAGTGCATTTCTCTCCTTCGCTTCAATCAGTACTTCCGCTAGATTAGTTTCTACTGGCGTTTTAGATCGTCTTGGCGAATGAGTCTGTTAATTATGCTTGAAGCCAAACATTGACAATTCCGCCTGTCGTTTCCCAAAAGAACTGTGGGTTTACTAACTGGGACATTCAACCAGGTGTAGTTGTAGGCGATTAGCGTAGCTACCGACTCAGTCGCATGACGTTCCAGCTAAGCACGGTAAAGGTAAGTCAATGGATTCTTAAAACAACTTGTAAGAATTTGGACATTCTAGTATGCTTCACACGCCGTATGGATTACCATGGGACATGCGGTTCAATTCACCAAGTGTCACGTCATTCGAGACCAACGAATTAGCTAGTGGTATCAACTGTCGCAGGTCATTATCTGATCTCCTGATCTGTAATTAACTTTTTCGGGTCACTGGTGGTCGTACTTACAAAAACATATATTGCCGTGTGTTCACAAGCGTGTGCAGTCAGATTTGACACGCGGATGCCGTTTCACTTTAAGATTTTTGGTTAAAACCGGTTAGCCGATTGTCATACACCGGGATATAGAAGAGGGAATTTTCCATTGCCAAAGTACAGTCGCGTACCTTATGAAAAGACGGCGTCAAGTGAAAGTATCAAAGTCCGTAAGCACGATAGTAGATGACTAGCGAATTATTCCTTCAAACGCTCTTTATCACGGAATCCACTGAAATAGCCAGTTCACTGTCCTCGCATGTTGTGCAGCACTGTCATCGGAGAATATTTCCTCTAAGAAGTATCTGGTGACGCCTGTGAAAATTGCAAGGATATCGCAGCTCCTGACCAGCGTTGTCTTTGTTCTACCGTGCCACTTCGATACCTGTGAACATCAACCAATGGTCGATATCTAGCTTTTATTTTCACCTACTTGGATGTTTAAATATCCGCTTACTCATTACATTAAATTGAAGATGAGCACACTTGACGTTTTTCGATACTTTTAAGCGCAGCTTCTAACGTGGCAGCACTGAGGGACTTTGCACCAGTCAGCGATTTATACTCTACAGTCATTCTGTGACCGGAGGGCGTACTGAAGGAATTAGCGAAATGCGGTGATAGGCCAATACGGCCCACACTAGTGAAGTTGAACAACGAACTCCTGTGCACCGATGTCAGGATGTCACACTTACTGGTCACATCTATCTACAACAAAGCCTCTGGACGAAATTACGGTTGCGCTACCCTGTTGGTCAGAGTATTGATGGTTTCTCCATTAAACCGTAATTTTAGATAGCTGAATAACACAGGACGGAACTTTTAACTGACTTTATACTACAGATGCATTTGTGGAAGAGCTATAGCATTATATCGAAATTATGGACACACCGAGTTAGCTAAAGAAAACCGCTGATATAACCATGGACCCAAGCGCAAATACGTTTGGTCCACTTATTGTGTGCCTTATACACATGGTCGATTGTGGTACTGGTTATAAAGTTTGCTGCTCCTGCTTTCGAAAATCATCGCTATAAGTCTTTTTTATAACCTCGCTGTTAAGTCCGCAAAGTACTCTGTTTTGATCGATTCTTCGGCAGTTGACTTTATCTTGCTTTGTCAGGGCTATAAATAAGAAGTGCAATTTTCAGTTGGAATGGTTTGATCTGGACAAATAATGTGTACAAATGGTTTTACTTAAGGACGTTTAGTGTTTGAGGATGTAAGCATCAGGAACGCACAGAACCGCTCTGTCCTATGGGAATGCTATGGTTGCACGGGAATGGTCGCGGTGTTTTCAGAAGAAAGGGATCCATCCTCTGTTTTAGCTTAATTTTTCTAGCTTTATATTGATGCTGATGCTGATGACCTGGAAGAGGGGATGCTGGTGACAATCACTTCTCTGTGATGCGTTTTACGAGGTACTCCCCGTGCCAAAATTGATCCTTGTGAACGCTACTTTTTTGCGTCCCTCTTATCTTTCTTAATACATCCAAGCACAGACTGATATCGAGCCTGCAAGCTCACTGTGGTCCTTTTAATCAGTGTCAACATACTCTAATGAGAATCTGTCTACCTCGTTTTTTTCCATTTCGCATTTGTCGGGGATAGGTTCAAGTTCCTTACTTCCTCGCGAGGTGGTGCGTGTCCGCTTATTTGTTTCTCTCTGGATTTGGCCACTTTTGTTACTTTTGGCGGCGCTCAACGGCTTTTTCCGAATCGGACTGCTCTGGCGTATGTCATTCTTTATGTTGATTTATGATTTCCTCATATGCGTACACAAAAACCCCTACCCTTTGCAAAACACTGTTCAGAGGTCCTTAGTGCGACTATTCATTTCGCCGACAGTCCGTTGTCGTTTGTACGACAGCTGTTCCCTCTCTCACTGACTTCGAATTTTTCAATCAGTTTTGTTTGCATGCTGCATCCGCAATTGTGTGGGGGGGTCCTGTGACCGATCACATTCAGACGGCTTATGCTTTCACATTTATTGTAAATTACTATAGCGAATGTGAATATCATTTTGTCTGTCCGTAGGGCAAACCGTTATTGATACCTGTCCTGCTTGGCTTGCTGCCCAATACATTTAACAACATAGCAAAATCAAGTGTTGTTCGTTTTTATGATTGCCACCATTATGACATTAAATTATTGACGCACAGGAGCGGTATCGGTTCGCAGCATTCAATTTGGGCTGGATGTATTATTGATTGTCATTGGTAGGCTGAATATCATCTGGTTCTCTATCACATTCTTATACTTACCATCTGCGGGACCAGTCACAGTGTCACTTTGTCCCAAAACGTTGTTTTGTCTAACCCAAAGTTCCTTGTTATCTCAATCGCCTTGCTGCTGGTTTTTCCTTCTTTTCACACGGTTTGTTGTACTTGCACAGTTATTTCCTTTTTTTCTCGTTCTCTGTCTGGTCACACCTGTTGTGAAAAATGCGGTCATTATCAATATAAGTTGACTTTTATCGTTATTTGTTAAAATAGCGTCAAACCCGCTCTCAGGGAATGTTGTTTCATCGACTTGATCAGCTATGACTTTGCTGCACTATTTATCTACTCACGAACGGCGGCTGCAGTTCTCGGGGGATCATATCAGTAATGTCGCTCCAAATCTAATACATTTTTGTTGGTAATCGCATGCAACACAGGTCGATTGGGCTTCTGTTGTTCAGTTCTGTACGTTCAAATTTTTCCTACTTTCTATGCATTCATACCTGTCCCTGTGGGAAAGCACTATTTTTGGTGCACTGAGCGATATCTGGACGGCGCACTTAGAGAACACGCACCATATATATTGCATTGGCTGATAGATTCTTCGATAACGGAACAGTTCCAGCCCAGATTCCTCATGTCTCGACAGCCTTAAGGCAGTAGGGAAACGTATATTAGCGTGGTTATCCTGCTTCATCTATCTCAGGTGTGGCAGTTTACAACACTCGCTATCGTGAGTGAATATATGCTCATCCGTGCCATTTACTCCTATCAGATCAGCTTATTCGGATTGGCTCATCCAATATGTCCTTGCGATGCATCTCATTCTTTAGTATGAAGCAGGGCATATTGGATGATCAACTTTTATTTACTCAGGCACTCAGTTCGTCTGGTTTGCTTCTGTCTCCAGTCAGTCTCTACCAAGTAAGTTATAGTATATACATTCACTGACCTCTTTCTCTCGTATGCGAGGTTCGAAAATTAATCCATTGTGCTTGGGTGCTAGGTCGGTATTTTGTAGACGGAGACTATGTATCCACGACAATGAGACCAGCTAATTTCAGAAGTAAGAGACCTCGACGTCGGATGATCTAAGTCACAACAACTCTGTGACGCTCGTTTGTGATGATTACACTTTTACTTTAATTCTTCTAATGTGATACGCGACGATGTGGTTGCATCGATAATGCGGAGCTAACCAACTTTCGTGTACTCATGAGTAAGGGTGTTTTTCCGGATTCGAGTTATTAAGCGGCGCTTCTTCTTCGTTTTTTTTACTGGGTTTTAAACTGATTCGACTTAGCCATCTCGGGAGAGACCAAATTCCTCTCATTTACTTCGGCCGCATCGTAGTTTCAGTAGCATCACCTTTGTAAGCACAATTTCTCAGTAGTATGAGAAATATACATTTTCCCTTTGATAACCGAAGGAATGCTACTACTGACGCCTCCCTTTTTCCCTTCCTACCTCCTACTGCACTTGTCGATCCCACTTTGCTACCCTACCATGAAAAGTGACAGATGCAGTACATGATTTCAACCATGTGCTTAGACGATTTTCAACATGATAACAAGTTAAATTATCTAATCAATTGATACCTTTTTATACGGACAGTTACAACAAATCTTATCCTACCGTATATTAATGTATAATCTTGAGAATTAATTAATCAGAAACAATTGTATGCTTGGCGAGTCGTATTCTTTTCTTTTTCTGAGCTTTACGTAATTTGATAGTCATACCTGCACACGGAATGCTTTTGATGTTAACTTGAGTTGCGTCTCAGAAACTAGAATTTGGTACTCTCTCGTGGCTAGCAAACTCACTGGGCTTAGCTTATTCCATCGCTTTTGCTTGTACGATGCTTTCGGTGATAGTGCACGTTCCATCTGGCAAATGGCGGTGGGTGCCGCTCTCATCTTCACATTCGTACTCTAACTTGTTGTTCATTATAACTGCGGATAGCGTCCTCCGGTCGGTTATTTTTGGCTGTGTTGACAAGATCACTTTGTGTTAACTTTCTGCGTTCATTAGAAGTATTTCGTGGAAATTGAGCTACAATTCAGTTTCATTTCCGATTCTGAAATTTCCGACCAAAAATACTTGTATTTCATCGTTTTGTTTCGGCGATCTTGCTATCGCCACTTTCTTCGTCAATTGGCCGCCATCTTGTTTTCGGATTATTCGCAATGCCGAAGCAGTCATCCTGTGGTACTTGCTCCAAACTAGTCGGATACCGTGCAAATGCCCTCACGTGTGCATTTTGCCAAGTTAAATACCATATTTCATGTGTTGGATTATCAGTTGAGCATTTTCATCGCCTTCGCGAGATCCAACACGATTTCGTCCAAACTATATGTGAAAATTGCCGAAATCAGATACAGCCAGAAAGAGTAAAGCCGACGTGTAGTCCTCAGCGTTTCGTTGCGAACAGCTCCGTGTGTTTGGCCCAGCAACCTAGCGCGAAGAGCCTTCAGGTTTCGGCTCAGTCGTCCTCCTCTACCCGTGCAAACTCACACGAAGTCCAACCGTTGTGAGAAGCCCAGTTGCACCTGGGCTAAATTGTTTACCTTTGTTGTGTCCACCGGACACCGATGTCCCAGCAGGTGAAAGTCTGAGTGCTGAAGACCAGTGGAAAGATCAGAGGACGAAATTACGAAGGAACGTTGGGCGTTTACGTTCTGTAAGTCAACAGTTAGCCAAACCACTTGAGGCTGGTAGGATACTTCGCCCTGCAAGGCCAACCTCGTCCGACCAGAGGCGTTATAATCTCGTGATCTTTCACGCACCGGAGTCCAGTGATCCATCACCCCAAGTGCGCTACGATCACGATGTCGAGTTTTTACAGGGTCTAATTGATAGACTCTTCGACGTTGGTGAGGACTCGGTAAAAGTGAGGCAGATTACACGTCTTGGAAAGCAAGGTGATCAACAAAATCGGCCTATGAGAATCACTTTTGTGGACGAAGCCAGTCCAAGACTTATCATGTCTCGCCTAAGTAGGCTGAAAGGTTTGAAGATCCATGTTCGTCCCGACCTGGACCCAGTAGACAGGGAGCGGCTCAAGTCTGCCATTATTGAGTTAAAAAGACGCACTGGTGAGGGGGAAACAAATCTTCGTATCGTAAATTTTCGGGTGGTTTCCAACAATCCGCGAATCAGGATAAACAGGCTGCTCACACTTCAAGCACGCCCGGTGGCTCCTGCTGCGGCCTGCGAGTAGCCTTCACAAACGTTTGCAGTATTATGAATAAGCGCGATGAGCTTTGTTGTTTCGTTGCGTCTGAGCGGCCAGACGTAGTGGGACTCGCAGAGACATGGCTGCATGCAGAGTTATACACCCAAGAACTTGAACTCAACGGTTACTCGTGTTTCCGATGCGATAGACTAAAGAATGCCCACGGTTGTGTCTTACTTTACATCCGGTCTTCCCTGCGTGGGAGACTTGTGAGCACCTACCGAAGTGACGATGGCCTGTGTGAGCTACTGTGGTGCTCCATCCGCCTCAGGCGCGGAGAACTGCTTGTGGGCGCAGTTTATCGCAGTCCCCTGAGTCGTTGTTTGGATTGGCTGCCCCATCTTCGGACCCACATGAGTCGTCCACACTTTCTGCTTATGGGCGATTTTAACTGTCCTCGAATACGATGGCCTGATGTGCATTTGATGCCTGGACATAGTGAGGTTGAAGCAAAGTTCGTGGATTTGGTACTTGAAACTGGTGCATCGCAACACATATGCCAGCCAACACGCATATCAACACGTTCAACCTCGTCCTGTCTCGACCTGATGTTAACGAGCTACGAACAACGAGTACGTGACGTTAGGATCCTGGAGCCCCTGGCTACAAGCGACCATTCAGTGCTCATAGCTGATATGGAATTATCTTTGCCGTATTCACATCCGCTGGAACCAGCTCCCAACTACTGGAAAACGGACTTCGATGGTCTTGCTCGAGCCGCGAGCCAACTGGATTGGTCTCTGTCACAAGCTGCATCTGTGGAAGATTGTTGGATATTTATAAAAGAGAGATAAACATCATTGTGTTCCAAATTTGTGCCATTGAAATGTCGAAAGGTTGGACCGATTAAGCCTCATTGGTTTGATAAAGAGTATGGAAACCTGGCTCGGAGGCGGCGCAGACTGTGGGACAAATTCCTTCTCTCTGGCTCTGCCAATGATTACGAAGGGTATAAATGTCAGCGGAATCTCTGCAACAGTGCAAAAAGAATAAACGCCGACACTTTGAAGAGCAGCTCGCATTAGCCTCGAAGACCGCCCCCAAGAGAATCTTTGCATACGTGAAGCGACGCCTGAAGCCTGCGGGTGATGTGCCAGTGCTGGATGGCACGGATGGACAGCCCCTAACCTCCAGCTCTGAGCGTGCGTCCGCGTTGGCGGCGCACTTCGCTTCTGTATTTGCGAATAATCAGGTGTCTGTTCCGAGTTCGACGTGTACCGCTTTTCCCGAACTCGATAGTCTGCATTGTGGCGTCGAAGAGGTAGCTCAACTAC